GCTTTGCAGGCTTGAAATTTAAGACCCTATCGGCATCTTTTCTGTTAGCTGTGATTTATGAATGGTTTCGCTGTTGATTATCCTCCAAGATTACAACACAGCAGCCCTGACAGACAAGCAGAGGAAATTTCACAGGATAACGGGCAGGTCCTTCGCCAGGGCAGTGAGGCAGGGAGGTGTGCTTTGACTCAAGTATGTAACAATATCAGCAAATGCCAACTGGACTCCACAGGTAATCGAATAGTCTGCATGTAGCACCCTACTCAAAGGCAAGCAGAGTCAGCAGAAGTCTTTATGATGATTTCTCCGTGCTTCAGATCCTTTGCTAGCTCTGTAATACAGCATTCAGTTATTTTTTTGCCTTGATTGTGGCACAAACTGTACAAACTGCAGTCAAATGTGAGAAGGCAACATTTGCATATAACCCTATGCATGTTCTTCAAAGATCATCCTTTTTTACTGCAGTTGCAAAGTCTACTGTCTTGTCTGGGAGATGCACTGTCTTTATGCCAAGCCCAGAATATTCAAAGGAAATTTGCTTCCTTTGATTTATTGCCAAGAACAGGCACTCCTGACCCCAGAAAAGGAGATTTTGTGGCTTTTGTTCCCATTTCCTGCTAGACAGTTTGTTCCAAGTCACTGCTAAGAGGGACTGTTTATCTGATGAGGGTAACAGGGCCAGGGCAGGTGCAGCCATGACTTGAGGGAGCTGCATAGCATTCTGGTTGCTCCGACAGTGCAGGACTGACACAGTGCTAATAGGAGACAGGAACAAGCTACAAGCCCTTGTAGTGACTTGGCAAAGCCATACCTGAGGATGCTGCAAGGAGACCAGGTATCTCCTGAGAGAAGCTCTCAGAAGCAGCTGCCTGCGTTAGTTTGTTTCCTTCACTGGACCAGATAGCCAAGACTCAGAGTCCAGGTCAAAAAAATTTCTGATGTGGGGGCTGCCTAAAAATAAATGAACAGACATCTTAGGAGGTGATTTTATCTCTTGATAAATAGCCTCTGCTTTTCAGGCAGAAAGGTTCCTTTGATATGAACTCTGCCATGCTGCCCTGCAAAATGAATCATTATAGTTTCCAGGTCCAGCACTACGGATGTGCTTCCTGCTCTTTGTATCATCATGTGGACCTCTGCAGTGAGCAGCAGTATGCCACTCTCCTGCTTTGGATCATTTTGAGCTGAGGTGAACAACTCCACGAGGTGCCAGGCAAGGGTGATCTGGGCCTGACGTACCTGGGTCCTGCTCTGTGGTCATATTCCCCTCAGCGATGCTGTTGATTATCAGGCTGCTTCGGTGCCTTTCAACACTATTGTCAGGAGCATAGTTACATCCAGCTGTGGCCCAAGCCATTCTTACTGGGACTAGTTATGCTGTGGGTGTTCTGAAGGATCGGGTTCGACAGTGAACCAGAATGGACATTCCTAGCATTCTTCCCATTTTGCCACCCAGCCTGCTTCAGAAAAAGTCCTGATGTAGGTGTTTGTATCCTGTCTCTTTCTTCCCTCACTGTATTTGTCTTTCAAGCCTGGCAGCAGTGGAAGGAAACTTAGCACGTGATGCTGATGTTCTGCCATGTCTGTGGGACGGCAGATTCCTAAAGTACTCAAATCTAGCTAAGAGAATAGCTAGGAAAACAGGAGGCAGAGGACTCATGAAAGCATGGAGAGGCTTGAATCCCAGTGGATTCAAGGAGGGAGACTGGCTTTTATCCAGAAGCAGGGCTGCTCACACCAGGAAGGCTGTCTGGGTTCCTGCCCACACAGCCCCTCTCTCATGACTTCTCACCTGTGCTGCATAATTTTGTGCTAGTGATCCAACTGTTCATGATATATCTCACTAGTGAGATATTCATGGCCATAAAGGGCTGCTGGATGTTGTAGCACAGTTGTGCTTGATACAGGAGCCCAACCAGAACCTGGACATAAGGAAGGAGGGCAGAGAAAAGGTCAGGGTTGTAGAGAGGCTGCAAGGGGATCCCAGGAATACCACCAGTGAGAGGAGTGCCAGACGTGAGTCCCATGGTACTTGGCAAGGCAGCCAGTAGCAAAGAGGAACAAACATCCAAGCATGCGGACAAAGTCCCAGCACCTAACTGAGGCATCTGTGAAGACCACACAGCCCTCAGCAGATTTTGGTTTGTAAAGTCTCACCTGGAAACCTCAGACAACTGAATGCAGCCCAGTGAGCCAGGGCGCAGATCACATTGCATCCCTGATGCTCTGCTCATTACCTGAGAAAAGCTGTCAATGCCACGTGCAGTATCACCAGCCTGGCACACAGCAGGTCTCTGGTCCTGAGCAGCACTGAGCCCCTGCAGCTCCCAGCAAAGCACAAGGGTTTCTTCACATGCGTTTCTTCACCCGTTTCAGGACTGGGCCTAGGGGTTGCATTTTATAACAAAACAGACCAATGAAAAAAAAGTTGGAGAAGCTCTGAGAAATGTGTGCTTCATAAAACCCTCTTTAATTGATGTCAGAAATACATCTCTGCCTAAGAGTGAATCTTAACAGATACAGTCCTGCTGGATTTTTCCCTAGTTTTCTGCTACTTGACTCCCCACTCCTTATTTATTGTTGTTTTACACTCTAATTCCCAGCTAGGCAGGGTTATTCCTTCAGAGTTAGTGCTGGTAGTAGAGGCCACTGTCCCACAGCCAATGCCTTCACACACTGTTGCCCTTGTACCACTGTGTTTGCACCTGTTTGTCTACACTCAGCTGCTTCAGAAAACTTCCCTCCAGACTTTTCCTTCCTCCTTGTCCCACCATACACACAAGGGGCCAGTTTCCCTGTTCCCAAGCCAAGACACAGGAATGTACCAGTCCCTAGTGATTCCTTCCAGCAAATTAAGAATTGCTGAACCAAGGAGGGTTTCAGTAGAGCAACATGGCCTCGACTGAAAATCCCCCACTTGTTTTTTTTCTCCTTCGGTAGGGCACCATGCAATATTTATGTCAAGTCCTGTTTCAACAGGTCTAATTCTACTACCCCGTATATACATCTGTGTCTGCACACTGTACCCTTCACTGAGTTTCCATTCAGGTAAATTTTCACTGGGCAAGAGCCGGATACTCTGGCTCCAGGAGGACTTCTGACCAAAGAATGTGTCATTTCCATCACAGCCGTCAGGACAGGAGCATTTCTTACCACCTGCCCACCCTGTGCTTTATACAAGAGAGCTCCATCTTGGGTGAGCGACCCACTACTAACTTTAAACAGAATAATAACAACAACAACAACGATACCACCATAATATGCGCACACACATGCCCTGCAGAACAACAACAACAACAATACCACCATAATTTGTGCACACACATGCCCTGCAGAACCCAGCAGCAGCTTAGCCAGTCATAAATGAAGTCAATACCCCTACAAATGCTTGGGGATGCTCAACAGTGCCTAGCGTTTCAACTGTTTAATGCTCAGCAAACCCTAAACCACAAACACCCACTTCTGTGCTGAACGCATGTATTATACTGAAATTTACCTTTAAAAATACATGTTACTTATCTCCAGGAAAAAATGGATTGTAGTTTCTCAAAACAAGAATCAGAAAAAACAGTCTCCCCCCAACTGCTCCTCAAGCTAAAATATACCTCTCTAGGAGTAAAGGATAGCGCACTCACCCCTGTCCAGTGTCCCTTTGTCCTGCTCTTTTTTTCTCCTTGGAGGAAAGCAGCTCTGCAGACACTCCTTCCCCTTGCAGATATGGTCTCGCCAGTTCAGGAGAGGGGCAGAGGAACAGGGCTGCAGGGGAACTGCTAGGCTGAATGCCTATAGTTCACAGCATTAACTGGCTGGAGAATCCTATTACATGATAGGTAGCAAGTCAGGGCCTAATTTATGGAAATTTTGACCTTCGGTCCCATTTGACATTTTCAGATCAGCCGTAGCCTGTGTGAGACATTAGAGCCCTTAGAGTAAGGGGCTCTAAATCAGCCTGTGCGGCTGCTGGAGCCAACGAGTGGGTCAGAGGTAAGAATTCACTGAGGTTCGTGTGTGGGCTGATCAGTGCTTGTTTGACATTTATAAATCAGTGACATTCCTCTGCACAGCTCAGTGCATACAGATTGCTTCAGTCACTCCGAGGAGGGCCTCTCATTTCAGTCAAGGGTGGATTTGGGCATCCTTGGCCTTTCCTTTTGACTTGAGCAAGAATAAGCCTAAACAAATCCAGCTTTATTAGCTGGCGAGTTTACCCGCTACCATACAGCGTGACCCGCTCCTCAGGAGGATGGAGCGCAGGCCCTTTTAGGATCAAATCCAACCTCTGAGGACTTTGTGCCATCTTGAGGGTTTCCATCTTGAAGGCTTGGGCATGAAAGCCTTCATCCCTAGGTACAATACCAGACCCCTCACATTTTCATCAGCTGCCATAACAAATATTGCATTTGTCGGTTTTGTAGCACAAACAGCCATGGTCCTGTTCTGCTGGGTGCTGGGCCAACAGCTCGGACCAAGAGGCGGCAGCCAGTTGGATTTCAACAGTTTCCCATAGAAACCTATTTGCCGTGAATAAAGCTCCGCTGGGCTGAGCTGTATGAGTGGGCCTGCCCCAAATTTCTCACAGTCTGGACTCTATGTAGAGAGAAAACATGATGAGAAAAACATAACCAGGGCTGTGGACAAGGTAATGTTAACGTCAGCCAGTTATTGTGCAATAAATGTCTATATCTGCTTCAGCAAGCCCGACCTGTTTAACTGCTGCTTGCTTCTCCGAAACCTGAGGGTTGATATGGACTCTCCATTCCCTTCAGTGCTGGCAGTGACTGTGGCACACGCTGCTCCTCCCAGCAAGCAGCTGCGCTGAGATTTGGGATGCCCTCCCGTCGCATTTATGGTGGCCCCAAACACACGGTGGCTGGGATGGGGAAGCCAGCTCCTCGGTGGTTGTGGACCAGCAGCTGTGTAGCCAGCCAAAGAGAGAGATGTTTATGTTTCAGGCAGGAGGCGGGAGGCATAAGGACTGCCATGAGTGCACGGCCACCGGCATGGGGGCTATGGCGGGCTCATACGCGCCGGTAGGCAACACTGCCATGGTCACCTGCTGCCTCAGTGAAGACGCCCCAGCCACCTCAGAGTAAAGAGGGACGATGGCTCTTGAGAAGAGCTCTTTCCTCATGCCCACACACCTTGACACTGAGGGGAAAAGCTGCTTTGGGGAGTGAGGGGGTGAAAGAGGGACGAAAATCAGAACTGAGGGGAAAAATCGGACAGAGGTGAGGGAAAACTCAGACAGAAGTGAGGGAGATCAGTGGAGAGAAACCGCAGCTCGGTGATGGCGGGTGGCTGAGTGGGGAGGCCCCTCTCCCGAAGGCCGGGGGGTACCGCCGTGTGTGGGGGTTGCCTCAGGTCTCCTCGGGGGACGACGCCCTGGGGGGGAGAGGGCGGGCG